GCAAAGTGCTGTATGCTTATGTGAACATCCAAATATTTACGTTTTATTTCAAAACTATATACAATTATCTATCGTTTCATTGAGTGGAGATTGTACTGCACCATTGTTCAACCTGGCTGCAGGAAATAAAATACGTAGATGACAAGTCAACTGCAATGAAAAGTCTGAAGCAGGTTCTTCTTTGATGCTTTTGCACTCAGCAGCACCAGTAAAGGCAGCAGCACCAGTAAAGGCAGCAGCAGACGTCCACAACAACAAACTGCACTTACAGCACAACGTACAACAAATGTTGTATTTATTCTGCAACAGAGTCAGAGAACAGATCTCTAGACCAATCACAGCTCTGGTGTGCATCGTCCAAGTGGTTATCGTTAGATCCATCCCGTCTCCCCTCGTCAACAGTCTGAGTTTTATAATTCACAGTTTGTGCCTCACGTCTGTGTGGTGATGTGAGAGTTTGATTCTGGAAAAGTCTTTGACAATCAACTCCATTTCTCTGATTCGCTTTCCTGATCAGACCCAAATCGCTGCGGCCACTTTCAGTCTCTTGTCTCCTTCTGGACAAAACGCTGAGTGTTTTACTCACAGGAGTGGGAGCAACTACTCCATCATCATCCTCAGAATCACAAACAGCCGCACGTTTAACTCCGGAGTCCTGCTCGTAATTAATAGTTCTTGATGACTCGCTGTTTAAAGTGCTTCTTTTAATGTCCTGGCCAACTTGCAGCCACTGGTCTGTTTTCCTGAACTTCCTTCTTGGAGTAAAACTGTTCCTGCGCCTGTTGGATCTCCTGCTCCGCATCAACATCTCTTTTGAAAACTCACCGGTCCTGTGGCTGATTGACATGTTGAGTGATTGCGTCACCACATCCAGTTTAACAATGGGAGTGGACTGAGAGGGATGAAGTCAAAATGTTCAGTTCCGTGTGAAGTTAAACCGTCTCCTTTGCTGCACTTATTGATTTGTAGTCTTTGCGGCGTTAGCTGTGCCGTATTCTCATCCCTCGGGGGCTGTTGCTCCGTCTTGGAAGATATCGAACAAATGGTTGATCTCCCAGGTTCTGTATCTGTGTTCTCTCCATCCCTGCTGTTCCCGAGAGTGTTACTGAATAAATCAGCTGAGCAGTTATAACTGATCTCAAGCTGCTCTTCTTCTTCAAAAGACAGACAAGCTTTGACATTCTCCAAAATGAACTCACGACGGGAAACATTTTCATCTTCTGGCCTGTTGTGTTCCTGATCAGGCAAGTCCAGTCCGACCCCTCCCTCTGGTGCAGGTGCATTACTGATATCCGTTAATATCGATGAATGGCCGGTTCTTATCTGTGCGTTTCTCTGACAAGCAGAAGTCCATTTAATTGCAGGGTTAGTGACCTCCAGGTGAGTTCTTGCAGTCTGAGTTTCACTTTGCACACTTGGTTTGATTTCACCAACAACGTCAAAATCTTTGTTCAAAAATTCTGTGAGGCTCTCAGAGAAAGGTAGATCCTCCCATGCCAACGAGCTTGATAAAATGGATCTGGCGTGTTGACTTGTAGAGAACTCCTTTGGAATGAGGCTGAAACTTTTGCAGACAGGTGGGACAGGACTAAAACACGAGTTAACGCCAAGGCCGTTTCCAGCAATCGCTCCAAAAGACCAGTTTGAATATCCAATAAAAGACGGGCTATTGCAAAAACTCTGCTCTGAAGGGAGAAGAGACGCTCTTCCTTCTGTTACTTTATGCTTTTCCAGCTCAGGGTGTGATGTCACGCTGTTTTCTATCTGTCTGCTGTTGTCATCTCCACTGTCCTGTGTACTGCAGCCTTCCTCCTCCTGCTCTGCTGATGACGTCACAACTCCGAGAGACCGTTCCCACAGAGGAGTGGGAGCGACTGAAGGGTGCTGTGATCTAGGATGGAATCAAAAGCAGTTGTCAAATAATGACTTGTTTTTTTTCCCCTTTAACCCATGAAGTTTACACCAAACATTGGTGCATAAACAGGAAAAATGTTTCAGTTAAAGCGAATAATGAGTTTTTATGAAGTTAGGTTAGATTTTCTACAGTTTTGTATTAGAAATTACTTTAAAAAAACTATCAGGCAAAATACAACCCATTGTGTTTTTCTATATTTCCTCACCTGAGCTGTGACTGGGAGAGAAGACCAGAGGCACACAAAGAAGTATTACTAAAGCTGCTGCTCGTACCAGGACCGAGCAGCAGGGGTGCAGCTGGGTCAGCAGACCCCTCTTCATACTCTGAAGCTTTTTGAAGGAGAATATGAAAATAACCCAGTACAGTGCAGCCAGCCAGGCCCTTGGATTCAGGAAGAATCATTTGACTTGCAACAAATTGGGCTGACTCTCTTCTGCTGGAGCCATTTGAACCAGGACCTCCACACCAAGGTCCACTTTCTGTTCCGGTCAGCTAAAAGGAGACAGATGAATACAAGAAGAGCTGAGACCAAATACCATTAAAACTAATTTATTCAAAAACAATAATGTTTCAGTTAAAGCGAATAATGAGTTTTTATGAAGTTAGGTTAGGTCATGAGCATGGACTTTGTTGTTATTCATCTACATCAATTATTGTACAGAACTCTTCATTTCATCTCAAGTTAGGTTCATCAAATGAATGCGGTTCCAACATTCTTCAGTCAGGTCATCTGGACAGTTTCTTTTTTTGTGCTGAAACGTTTCACCTTCGATCCGGAAGGCTTCATCAGTCAAGGAAACACACAACAAGACTGATTCTTCCCCCAACAGCTTACTCCAAAGTGGAACAAACCAGTTCTGCTTGTGATAAGATGGTCTCTTTGGTACGCCCCTCCTCCATTGCCGGCCCTCTTCCTTGTAGACAGTCTTGTCAAACTGGTTGAAAACAACAAAGTCCATGCTCAATAATCCAGGTACAAAATCCAACATTTTTCAGACTTTGTTGTTTTCAACCAATTTGACAAGACTGTCAACAAGGAAGAGGGCCGGCAATGGAGGAGGGGCGTACCAAAGAGACCATCTTATCACAAGCAGAACTGGTTTGTTCCACTTTGGAGTAAGGTGTTGGTGGAAGAATCAGTTTTGTTGCGTTTCCTTGACTGATGAAGCCTTCTGGATCGAAGGCGAAACGTTTCAGCAAAAAAAACTAAGCTGTCCAGATGACCTGACTGAAAAATGTTGGATTTTATACCTGAATTATTGAGCATGGACTTTGTTGTTAATCATCTACATCAATTATTGTACAGAACTCTTCATTTCATCTCTCACTTATGATGCAACACTGAGTTTTAACTTATGTACTGTTAATTTAAAGCTCAACACAGAACATGACTACAAGTGATAATAATTATCATCTAATTAGACACTGACAGGGCAGCACGGTGGCGCAACTGGTAGAGCTGCTGCCTCTCAGCGAACAGGTCCCTGGTTCAAACCCCGGTCCAGGGGCCTTCTGGGTGGAGTTTGCATGTTCTCTCCGTGCATGCGTGGGTTTTCTCCGGGTACACCGGTTTCCTCCCACAGACCAAAAACATGCATGTTAGGCTGATTGGTAACTCTAAATTGTCCCTAGGTGTGAGTGAGAGAGTGAATGGTTGTTTGTCTCGTTTGTCTCTATGTGGCCCTGTGATGGACTTGCGACCCGTCCAGGGTGTACCCCGCCCCTCGCACAGTGATTGCTGGACATGGGCACCAGCGACCCCCGTGACCCAAAATGGAGTAAACGGGTAAAGATAATGGATGGATGGATGGATGGATGGTAGACACTGATAGACAATCTGATGTGCAGGACCAGGAAGTTACTGCATCATAATGATCTGTATACAACAAATAAACAACTGCCTGAAGGTTTGAAAGAAGTCTCTTCTTCTCCAGCATGAAAATGACAAATAATACACAAATGTATGTTATTCACAAAAAATAAAACAAATAAAAAAGTAAATGACTTTAAAAATGCATTTAAAACTATATCTATAAGCCTTTTTTTTTTTCAAATAAATATTAATAAAGATTCTTAGTCAGTATTTTTTAAGCTGTGTGTGCTGTTTGGTCACATAACATGTAGTGACAATAATTCCTAAAATACACAAATGTAATTACACCTGGACCTGTCATTCTGTGTTTGTTTGTTTCTCCTTCCTGTCCTCTCTAACCTCAGTCAGTCGAAGCAGATGACCGCTCGTCCTGAGCCTGGTTCTAATGGAGGAGTCGTCCTGTTAAAAGGGAATGTTTCCTTTCCACTGTTGCCTTTGTGCTTGCTCAGGATGGGAGACGACAATGAAGTGAAGATTTAATGCAATCCGCTGACTTTCTTAGATCGATAACTTTTACTGTGTGGTTTTTTTTTATGTATGTGAATGTTTCTGTTCAGTGCCCTGAGACAACTTCTGTTGTGACTTGGTGATATAAAAATAAAGTGAACTGAATTGAAATGAATGAGGCTATACTTTAAAGAGATTTATTTTTAGACATTAATTAACTCAAACAAAAATGTAGCAAAATATAAGTATCATAGCAAGGGTGGTCGTGGTAGCTTGGTGGTCAGTGTTTCGGTCTCATAACCCTGAGGCTGCAGATCCAAGCCCAGGTTGCATGAGGAACGGCATTCAACATAAACAACTGCCGAATCTCATGAGCAAGTTTGTTCACTATGACGACCCCCGCAGAGAACAGCCAAAATAAAAACAACATAGTATTATAACAAGAATAAAAACTAAAATAACATTTTTATGCCATGTAGAATAACTAAACGCCCATCCATTATCTTTTACCCACTTCTTACTTTCCAGGTCACAGGAATCACTGGTGCCCATGTCCAGCCACCACTGTGCGAAAGGCGGGGGACACCCTGGACAGGTCTCCAGTCCAACATGGACACAGAGAGACAAACGACCATTCACTCTCTCACTCTCACCTAGGGACAATGTAGAGTTACCAATCATCCTAACATGCATGTTTTTGGTCTGTGGGAGGAAACCAGAGTACCCGGAGCGTATGCACGGAGTAAACTCCACCCAGAAAGGTCCCTAGCTGGGGTTTGATCCGGCGACCTGCTCGCCGAGAGGCGGCAGCTCTGCCATCTCCAAAACTATGCCGCCCAATAACAAAACACGATCATTTAATATTGATCTCAAAGATAAAGGTTAAACACAACTGGAAGATCCCTCTGGTGGATGTATGCACACTACACTGGTCTAAAGAAAGACAGGCAGGCACAGCTGCAAAAACATTATTCAAAATCAAGTAAAACAAAAAAATCTGTATCTGTGTAAGCTCAGCATAAATAACGTCCCACGTTATTCGGTGTCCTGTTATAGGCATTTTTTACCTTTATACCAAAGATGAAATGTCTTCCAATGAAACAGTCTCTGACAGCCTTCACCAACAGTCTGGACCTCGTTGCTGGCTCTACAGGTCCCTCCAGATGTTCCACTAACCTACAAAATGACAACAAAGTTTACACTGTTGTAGATTTCTGATTGAGTCATCATGTCATTAGATGTGCTGACGATACATAAATGGAATTAATGTTTGAATTTATTAGAACTTACTTTTGTAATTCACTTGCATGAATGCCGAAAAATGCGTTCAAGCTGTTTCCAAACACTGTCACACCAAAAATGCAGCTGTCCCGGGTCACCCAGAGAGAGAGACGGTATCTGTAGTCCACCTGGTCCCTCAGACACCTGTAACCACATCTGGAGCACCGACACCTGAGGAGGGACAGGGACTATTACAGTCTGAAGCGATTTAAAACCTTTCAACTCGTACAATTTTAATGACAATAGATAGGCGAGCAGAGCAAAACAGTTTGATTGATTTTAATACCTTGTCGTGGTGTCCAGCTGATCGGTATCAATGCGTGAAAAGCAGCTTTTACAGCACGGATAAAACACGCAGGAATCCTGCAGAGACAACACTGCACAATCCACCAGAGCCCGTCTGACAGACATCAGACTCAGAGATGAACCTGAACAGGTTCACCTTCGATTAACAAAAACGTATCCAAGTCCATAGAGGCTGGTTTAACTCTGTTATAACTAGAGAAAAGTCTGTAGAAAAAAATTACAACAAAACGCCAAAATAATCTTCTTTTTTTTTAATTTTTTTTAATAAAAACTTCGCGGGGTAGCTAGCGTAAGCTAACTGTTTTGAAGTGCCCTGGTAGTAAATGTCTTCTTCGTGGTTTTGTTTACAAACTCGGGCAGAAGTGCTGCCACCGTGTGGACCAAATGTGAACTGCAGGTGGCTGAAAGGAAATACAGTACAGTACTGTAGATATATATATGTACACTAAAATTTTACATTTCAATTTAATCTCAATTTTTTTCACACGCACACATGTAATTATATAAATACAAAAATATCACTTGTTGTTGATAGCCCTTTGAATAATCAAAAGGAAAATAGTGTTTTTATGGCCGGTAGGATAATGTGTCGTATTCTCGATTGAAGGTGCTGAAAGTCTTATTTTGTGGAAATACTGTATATGTGCAATGGCTCTGTATTTTGACAGCAACCGCTGAAATGTTGTGCTTGATCAAGGAAACTTGAAAGTTAAATGGAAGAAAAGAATGAGGAAGGTTTTCAGTGATAAGATGGATGATTGAGCATGAACTTTGTTGATGCTGAAGAAACCTATAAGAAAAAAAATGGGGAAGTAAGTTACAAAAATAATACAAAACTGATCTTCTGATCATCAGACTATTTGTTTTTTAAACATTTATTTCCCTAACCAGCCACTTGGGCCAGCTCCTCCAGGGGAATCTCAAGGCGTTCCCAGGCCAGCCGAGAAACATAGTCCCTCCAGTGTGTCCTGGGTCTTCCTCTGGGTCTCCTCCCGGTGGGACGTGTCCGGAACACCTCACCAGGGAGGCGTCCAGGAGACATCCTAACCAGATGCCCGAGCCACCTCAACTGGCTCCTCTCGATGTGGAGATTTTTATTCTATTCTATTTTATCCCTGATGCTGTAATTTCCTTGTCTTGCATGTATCAGTTTTCAGTTAAAAAGTAATCATTATATTCCACTTTTGTCTAATTATTAAATATCTGACAAAGAGCTTCAGCACCTTAAAGTTGATAGTAAAGGTTTAGTTTAGGGCTTAGTGCTGATATTATGGGGAGAGGGAAGTCTGGGCCTCAATACTTAGGCTGCTACCCCCGTGACCCGACGCCGGATAAGCGGAAGAAAATGGATGGATGGGATAAAATAAAATGTTAAAGCTGAATTAATGCACATAAACTAATGTAACATTCTCCAAACCCAGAGAGCTTTTAGCAAAAAGCACATTGTTCTTGTTATGTTACAAAAGTGCATACCATTATTTGGCCCAGAAAACATCCCGGGGAGGGTGTTGAGAGACTGTACAAGTCAGCTCTGTGAGGTGCTGGCCGAGATCTTTAACTCCTCCCTCATCCTGGCAACAGTTCCCACCTGCCTGAAGACTACCACTATCATCCCAGTTCCTAAGAGTTCTGCAGTGACTGGTCTGAATGACTACTGGCCAGTAGCACTCACCCCAATAGTCACTAAATGCTTTGAAAGAGTGGTCATGGCCCACATCAAAGCTACCACCAACATCAGCATCACCATCCACACCATCAAAATCCACACCAGTGTGCATATCGCAAGAACCACTCAACAGAGGATGCCATCCCCTCTGTGGTCCACACTGCTCTCACCCACCTGGAGCAGAAGGACTCCTACGTCGGTATGCTCTTCATGGCCTTCAACACCATGATTCCCCTGACCCTGATGGACAAACTACTCACACTATTTATAAGACTGAGCTGAATACAGCACCTCAGACTGAAGAAGTCTTTCGGATGAAAGACGAAACGTTTCTGCATTTTTTTGTTTTGTTTTTTGAATATCCAGAGGACCAGACTTAACTTTTTTAGATACTCACACTAAGCCCCTCCATTTGCAACTGGGTCCTAGACTTCTTAATAAACAGACTGCGGTCAGTGAAGATCCACAACTTCTCTTCCTTCACTATAACCCTCAGCGCTGGCTCCCCACAGGGCTGTGTGTTGAGCCCCCTCCTGTTCACTCTGCTCACATATGACTGCACACCTACCCATCCAGGCTGCCATATTGTGAAGTTTGCAGACGATACAGCGGTGGTGGGACGCATCACCAACAATGGTGAGTCCAGCTATAGGCAGGAGGTGGAACATCTGGAGAGCTGGTGCAGGAAGAACAACCTCCACATCAATGTAAAGAAGATGAAGGAGATGATTATGGAGTTCAGATGGAGCAACCCCCCACCCTCCCACCCATCAAACATAGGAGGATCTGCAGTGGAAGTGGTCTCCAGCTACAAGTACTTGGGTGTGCACCTAAATAACAACCTCAGATGGGGCAAAAACACCACCAGCCTGATCAAGAAAGCAAATCAGAGACTCGACTTCCTCAAGCAGCTCAGACGAGCTGGTCTGGGAAGCTCAGTCCTCACCTCCTTCTGCAGGTGTGCAGTGGAGAGCATCCTGTGCTCATCAACGTGTGGCATGGAGGCTGCACAGCTGCAGAAAGAAAAGCTTTGCAGAGAGTGGTGAAGGCTGCACAGAAGTCTGTTGGAGTCAGTCTCCTCACCATCACAGACATCTACACATCCACATGCAGGAAGAGGGCCACCTGCATCATGAAGGACACCACTCACCCAGCACACACACCTTTTGCCCTGCTCCCATCAGGCAGGAAGTTGAGGAGTATTAAGTGTAGAACCACCAGACTGAGGAACAGCTTCTACCCTGAGGCTGTTACACTCATGAATCTCTAACTAGGATAATCACTGTAAAAATAATTATTATATATATATTATATATATATAATTATATATATATATATATCACTGAAATGCCACTTTGATAGGTGGTATGTGACTGATCTGCTGCTGATTATCCATGCTGCTGATTTCTTACCTTTAAGCTGCTGTATTCATACCCATCTGCTCACTACAGACTCATGTTTGGGCTGTTGTTTAATATACTGTATAATTTTACATTATTAGTGTTTAGCGTATATCTTAAATCCTTGTAAACTGTTTCTTTCTATACTTTATATTTTTCTATTTCTGGGTGTAACTGTGACCTTGCGACCACAATTTCATTCCATCTCATGTACCATGATGCAACTGACAATAAAGAACTTTGAACCTATTTGTTACAAACATGACTTTGTTGTAATAGAAAACAATCTGAATCGAATTATTTTTGTAGTTTAGTCATGTTTCAATATGCAGTCTTTGGAAGAACAATTTTAAACAAACAAACAAATAAATACATAACTTATTTCACAAAGGCAAAATATTATGTATAATTTGTAATTTGATTTTCTCTTGTCCCTAAAATTTGTTCAATATTGTTATATTAAATATGAGGATTTTCATTGCTTGTGTGTGTTTTGTTTACATTAAGCCAGGGACAACAACAACCAGTGAACAGAGTTCATGTAAACATGTACTGACAATAAACAGCTTCCAGTCAGTGGGAACTAACAGAAATGCATCACAGTAAAGATGTCCATGTTTAATCTTAACACACCAAATATGGTCATAGTCCAGCCGATTTCCGGACACTTTCATTCCGCGCTTACTGCACCTAAACGCATCATTTGCAACATTTTTGGTTTAATTCCACGGTTTTCCAATGGCGCTTTTTTCATTTTTAATTGTTTGTCGTTCTTCTTTTCCTTAAAAATGATGTTTTCCGTGTAAACACGAAGCCGTTTGGGCGGACACGGTCTCTCGGGAGTGGAGGAGGAACTTCCTCAGAAGTCGCGACACATCCAGAAAAACATCAGGAAGAGAAGTGCGCAGTTCGAGGCGCTTTCACTTTGCGGCTAAAAGCAGCTGGACTGTCGGAACTAACATGTCTTTTCTTATCTAAACGATGAAATATACGTTCAATTAAATGATTTATCTAATTTTTTTTTTTTTTTTTAATAACTTGGAGCTCGGGACAGAAGAATGTCTTATTCCCTGCTGCTGCTTTTGTTTGGACACTTGGCCACTGCGCATCTTGGCTTTGGTAACGGTTGCGCTTTAATAAGAACATATCTCTAATATCATTTACATCATTCACTGTAATGTCTGTTTTGTGCAGGAAACAACTTGAACCTTGACTGTAACTGTGACTATGAAACGATATTTTGCCAGTTTGAGGCAGAAAACTGCTCTGAATACAGTTTGACCATCGAGAATGACTATGATCACAAGTGAGTGCTATTTTAAATGTTTTTATTGTAAATTTAAAATCGATTTTATTCAGATCTGTATTCTCCACAGGGATTGCCCTCCTCAGCAGTGTAACAGTGATAAATGCTGCTGCTCTAAAGACTTTTCTACTGTTATAAACGAGAAATTCACAGCAACAGTCAGGAGAGAAAGCAAAGTGGTGGAGGTGAAAATGTGCAACACCACAACGAGCTGTATGTTGAGTTTCCTACAAAGTGTTCGTCTCTTCCAGAGCTGTTCTCGGAGCAGGTGAAAGTCTTGACTTTTACTTTTGTTGCTGCAGTTAAACCTCCGACTCCAACACTCGTCTCAGTGGTTGAATCCAATGGAAACGTGGAAGTCAGGTGGAAAACAAACATGATGAAGTATCTTGATGATTCTATTAAAGCTGAAGTGACCTTTTATAAAGAAGGAGACACAAAGAAGGTAGGACCTGCTCACCAGCTGAGGTGGTTTACTTAAAACCGAGCCGCAGATTTACTTAAATTAAGATGGCAAAGTGAAATTCACCAATCCCTCTCTCTCTTTGAACATTTATTTTTCCATACCAGGTTCCCAAACTCATCATCCCAGCTATGGATAAGGATTTGCAGTACTATGCAATAAGCGGTCATGAATTGGATTCAGCTACAATGTACGGGATCAGAGTGAGAAGCTTCGCAGGCTGGAATGAGAAGTTCAGTGACAGCAGCAATGAGCTGCTTATTAAAACCTGTAAGTATTGTCCTTTAATTTATTAGGTGTGTTCTGAAGTTCTGCTTCATTAGAAGGTTCACCCATCGAATGACGCAATAACAACACAGATCAATTTTAATTAAAAAAAATTGCTATAAGTCTTAAAGGAGCTAAAGTTTTTTAGGGATTTAATCAGTAGTGATACAGACAGGGCTCGAACTAGAAGATTATCATAAGGTCTGGGACCTTCAAACTCCTCACAGATAAAGTGTTAAAAGTGGATATTTCCCCCCTTTTGGTTGTGCTACACTTTGAGTTACCTGTTGCGAACACCAGAAAATGACGAAATATACTGTAAAAGGTGTGGGATAGTGGTTTGTGAGCTCACACGTCTGACTTACTTTACTCATCGTTTGGTCTGTTTCTTGTTTCAGTTAATTTAGGACAGCACACCTGATAATGTGTCGTAAAATGAAAATGAAGTGCTGTCACAGGGTTGGACTTTTTAACGTGAAGAAAGCGAGTAAGAATGCCACTTAAAGCCTCAGTATTTAATAGTATTTAAGAGGAAATAAATATGAACAAAGTGTAACATTAAGCGCTGACTCAGTGTGTTTTGTTATGTGCTACACATTGTTGCTCCACAGATGCTCCTATAGATTCATAATCTTTGCAACATGAATTTCCATAGATGCAGGTTTCTCAAATGGGTTGTCTGGATCTTTTGAAATGGTTTCTTGAGAATGAACAGTCATTATCTTACCTGTGCATGTTGCTCTTTGAACAACCTCAGTTTGGAGAGATCAAGTTGATGAGTTAACCGCTAGTCTGAGCAGGGCCAAGTCCGAAGTCTAGACTCAAACGTTTCATAGCAGTTCATGTAAATGCTTCTTTAAGAACCTGAACATTGATGTTAGTTTTACTACGCAGTTAATATTGCAGAGTTGTTGTGATTTTCCTGCCGGATGGGCACCAAGCTGCACTGAAAGTGCTACAGCTGGCTGCTGCTGCTGCTGCCATTTGCATTTACAAGTAACCACATGATTCCAGGTTAAAAATGTGCAATTCCAAATCAATGGCAGTGTAAAGATTTGTAAAATGGTGTTCGCACCAAGGGCAGCACGGTGGCGCAACTGGTAGAGCTGCTGCCTCTCAGCGAGCAGGTCCCTGGTTCAAATCCCGGTCCGGAGGCCTTTCTGGGTGGAGTTTGCATGTTCTCTCCGTGCATGCGTGGGATTTCTCCGGGTACTCCAGTTTCCTCTCACAGACCAAAAACATGCATGTTAGGCTGATTGGTAACTCTAAATTGTCCCTAGGTGTGAGTGAGAGAGTGAATGATTGTTTGTCTCGTTTGTCTCCATGTGTCCCTGTGATGGACGTGCGACCTGTCCAGGGTGTCCCACGCCCCTCGCACAGTGATTGCTGGACATGGGCACCGGCGACCCCCGTGACCCAAAATGGAAGAAGCGGGTAAAAGATAATGGATGGATGTTTGCACCAATTGCACAAATTTAGCCTTAGCCCTGTTCTGACTAGCCTTTAGCTCGTCAGTCCAATCAGAATGAAACCCCATTTCATCAAATTACCGTATTTACATTTTTACTGTTTAGCATATATCTTAGTGTATGTCATAGATCCTTACATGTAGTTTCTTTTTATACTTTTTTGCTATTTTTGGGTGTAACCGGGACCCTGAGTACATCATTTCATTCCACCTCATGTACCACATGTTATTCGAATGACAATAAAGATACTTGAACTTGAAGCTTATTCAAAGAGCTGTCTAGAACAGGTAATATATTATTTATTCATAAACTTTTCTCTAAGCCCCATCTCAAAAGATCTGAGCAGACTTGGCTACCTTTTCGTAAGACGTTTCAGAATGTGTTCTTGTTGTTTCTCTGCTGTGTGCCTTCTGTACAAACACGTGCATCATACCTGTTGCTTCACAGCTGGCTCCTCTGACTCCCTGGTCTTGGCTCTCACTCTTGGCCTCAGTGTTTTTGCAGCCCTCCTGTGTGGTACCATCTTCTACTGTTATAAAAAGTAGGACGCGCAGATAAAAACGCATTTGCATTGATTCTTTATCTGCCTCCCTGGTTTCATTAATTCACAACTGCAACTCCTGTTTGGTGTGTTCATTTGACTACAGGGCCAAGAGAAAGTGGTGGGACACATATTTAGAACCAAAGGTGACCGTGACGCATCTAAAAGTGCCAGTGGTGAGACACCTTCTGTTGGAATCTTTCAGTAATTTGTGCACAGAACCGTTTTATGTTACATCGGTCAAGACTTTCATAACACAAATGCAGAAATTAGCAGCTTGTTTTAGATATTGGTGCTTTAAAGTTGAACTAGCACAAGTTTACCTGACTGTACTGTAAAAAATGAAAGTGCTTATAACAAATGATGTTCCTAACATTGCAGATTAATAAACGGGAGTCATATATTTGAAGAAGAAATAGTTTAAATCTCAATGCACTTTTATAACCGTGGCAAAATTAGTTTTCAAAGGTATTTTCACTGTGGGGTGATTTCATATTAATTTTGTTTCAGGTCTTAACACCTGTGCCACTCAAACTGTCCGTCTGTGTTACAGAAGAAGAAATGTATGTCTGCACAAACACATTTATAAACGCATTTCATCCGCGGTGTGCTTATATTTGTATTTTAAGCAAGTGTTTCTCTCTGTTCAGGTCAAAGAAGCAAGAGGCTGCTGCCATCAAAGACGATCAGCGAATGTCTTCTGAAGTTCCTGTTGCTGTTCAGAACATCTTGGAACTTTTGCCTTTACTTAAAGAACCCCTTTCACCTAGCCACGGTTCTGGATCGTCTGACATTTTGAATCACACCTACTCTCTGCTCTTACCCAACTGCTCTGGTCAGAAGACTGAAACGCTTTCTGGCTCTGCATGCTCCTCTAACGCGAGCGACATAGTGAACGATCCTGACCGACTGGCTCGTCTGTTTCCTGTACTACAGCATAGTTCATCTCTTATGCCAACAAACACGTCACATCATCCGAGCACCGCAGATCCTTCTCGGAGAGTTTCTCACGCGGACAGCTCCATCTTTAGCAGCACCAACACGAGTCCCTCTGGCCTGCTGAAGAGCGTTGTTAAGGGAAACTTTGAGAGGTCCTGTGAGACAGCTGTCAAACTGGAAAACCCTTTCTACAGCTGTGTGCCCACAGGGTCACACCAGTTTCTTACAATGAAGGATGGTTACCAGCCGGTTCCAAGCAAAATAGAGCCGTCTGATGCTCTGTACTCAGAAAAGCCAAGTGGTTATCCCACGCATGTTTTAAACAAGTGTCCAGGAGAAACATTTCCCAAGATCCCTCAGCCCTGCTTTAACCCCTTCATTCCTGGTTTAATCAACAATACCCTGAATTCTCAGTTTTACCCGGAACTTCTGGCTGACAATACTATAAAAGTAATCAGCGACTATCACAGCGTGTAGCTTACTGATTTGGTTTCGGGATTTATTCTGAAATGTGAAAAATACGTCTGCTGGTGTTGATTCTCAGTCATCCAGGACATGATGAATCCCAAAAAACAAAAACTTGACGTCTATTCTGTAAAGTCAGAGAGTCAGAGTTTCTTTATCCACATGTGGTACATGTGGTGGAACGAAATGTTGAACACAAGGTCTCAATTACATCCAACAATAAAATGTAAAAGAAAAACAGTAATGATGTCTTAAGATATGAACTAAGAAAAATATCAACTAAAAATATGCTAAGCACCAATAGCATAAAAACAATACGACGAACAGCAGCACGAACATGAGTCTGTGTGAGCAAATTAACACAAATGAACAAAGCAAAATGAAACAGATCAGCAGCAAAATGAATCAGATCAGCAGCAACATGATGTGATTTTTCACAGTGATTATCCTGATTAGAGATTCATGAGTCTAATAACAGTCTCATGGTAGAAGCTGTTCCTCAATCTAGTGGTTCTACACTTAATGCTCCTTAACCTCCTTCATGAGGGGAGCGGGGCAAAAAGTGTGTGTGCTGGGTGAGTGGGGTCCTTCGTGATGCAGGTGGCCCTCTTCCTGCATCTGAAGTTATTTTACTTCAACTATAGAATTGTGATCCATTTTATATATGTGTATATATATATATATATTCTCTTTACATAACATTTTGTGGCTTGTTTTACTGTGGTTATGTTATAGGAGTATATAATGTTGGCTTTTTTTCCCTGCAAAAACAATTTCAGGCAGCACAAACCTTGAGTTGACGTCTCTGCTGTGAGATATCTGCAGCAAAAAATGCAGAAGATGATTCTAGATTAAAAACTTTTTTAGCTGCTTCTTCTGCCACAGTTAACTTGCATGAAAGATTTGGTAAGTGGTGGGCAAAGATAACACAGGTGTGCCCAGATAATAGGGCACAAAAAGTTAGCTGAAGCTAACGCTAAACTGCTAACAGCTAAGATGACTGTCACTCAGTCTGGGTCACACGTCTTTTTCATTCATTCAACTTTTATTTATTCAGGTTAGTCTCATTGAGCCTCGAGGACTCATTTACAAGAGAGAGCTGTTTTTACGAAGAGTGATGACAACAGTCCATCCATCCATTTTCTTTACCCGCTTATTCCATTTTGGGTCACGGGGGTCGCTGGTGCCCATGTCCTGCAATCTGATGACAACAGTGGACAATCATAAAAGAAGGCAAATAAATTGAAAAGAATAAATGGAAGAAAATTATATTAAAAAATGAAACAAAACAGGAAGATGTCTGTTTTGGTTTTTGCCATGAACTTAGCAGATAAGCCACTTACTTATTTATTAACCTTTATTTAACCAGGCAAATCCCATTGAGATCACAGATCTCTTTTGCAAGGGAGGCCAGGGCCTGAAGGCAGCCTAACATGCTTTATTTTTGGTCTGTGGGAGGAAACCCAAGTACCCAGAGAAAACCCATGCAAGCATGAGAAGAACATGCAAACTCCACACAGAAAGACCCCAGGTCCAACCGGGGATTGAACCCAGGACCTTAGAGAGGTCAAGATTGAGATCTTCAGATCTTTCAGGTCTTTGTCTCCTTCTAGTTGATGCTGCATTGACCAATCACGTCACGTGTACACGTAGTTCACCAATAGCGTGCCTAACGGACTCTTCGAGACAAACGTGAATTTTGTTAGCAGACTTAAAGCTGGCAAAACTTAATTTAGCAGGAACTAATTCTAACTGGTAACTGGTAATTAGGCTGCTACCTCCACGACCTGACCCTAGATAAGCGGATGAAAATGGATGGATTGGAACAGTTTCCAAAGTTAGCAAAAACACTAATCCACTAAATGAAAATTTAATTCCTCAACTAGCAGATTAGCTGAAATGTGCTCACCAATAGACAATTGTTTTTCTCTGGATCTTCTTCCTGACGCAACCTGGGCTCGAACCAGTAACATGAGAATTTTAAAACTAGATCACTTAACCACTGAGCCACCATAGACTGATGCAAATATGATCTGATGTTTTTTTTTATTTTTTTTATTTTTTTTACCTTTTGTAAGCATCTTTGTACATTCTTGGATTTCATCATTTAATGGGAACTGATCACAAAGTTTTTATAGAATTTAAAATATCGGTTTGTTTTGAGAATATCCTTTTACAAATGCTTGAGTATGTCATAGTCCAGTAATGCAGCATATCTACGCCACCTTTTGTATTCAGTTTTGTTGATTCTAAAATACATTTTCTGAAAACTGCATTACAAAAACTGTAAAAACTAAAATGCGTACTGTGATTTTTTTTTATCATAACATTTCCTTGTAAGAATCTCTATTTAAAGACCTCAGCCATAATTTTAACTGGTGAGCTTAAATACCACATTTAGCTCTCAGTCCTAAACCTTTATGATGAACCGACTTGTGTAACCGAAACACACCACAACATTCAGTTGTAACACGGAGCTGTCTTGTAAAAGGACTTCCTCATTACTGTTCCTTGGAGCTGCTGACTCATTTCCATAGAAGCGTACATTTATTACCCTCACTCAGCACGTTTCACGTATCACAACAAACGAAAAGCTTAGCCTGCTTCATTGACAAGAATGAATAGATATCTTTATTTTCTGATGGAGTGGAGCAAAGTCACTATTCTTGTTTTTTTTTTTTCTCTTTCCAATAAAAGTTGATGTATGCGTAATTCCCACTTCAAATGCTACGACACCAAAAAGTGTTGCAGTGAACTTTGTTACCTAGCTGCTGTTAACCATTAAGTTCAAGATCTTTATTTTATTTATTATTTGTGTACAAGGAGCGTAAGACCTGTGGTGTCTTTTGTTGAGTTAACTCAGAACTCCGGCATCCCCCTTGTCATTTAATATTTCGACTCATCTGTGAAACAAAAACTCGCTCCTTGTTGAGACAGGCCTAAAAGCACTTCTTCTGAGCTTCTTATTCTAAAGATTTGTTGCAACATGTATAGCCGTCTCCTGTGTCACGCAGGTCACACGTTTATTCTGCTTCCATCTGGTGTTTTTTTGTTTTTTACCTGAGCGATGATGGTTGCCAAACTGACCTCAGGTGCACACAAAAAAACCCAACTATAAAAATCATATTTTGGTTCTCTTTCATGCAGTTGCTGGCACATGCTGCCCAAAAATCATCTTTATGTGATAATCATTATTAAATTGTCGGTTTATTTACTGTATTTTCAACCAATTCTGTTGTTGCAGAGTTGAATTTATGCTTTGCTTTCGATATCCAGGCATAAGGAAATGCAAATAAGCATTCCAAAGAGGTTTCACTTCAGCACCTTCCTCATCCACCCATATGTTCACCTTCTGATTGAGGGAAAAGACTGAATTAGTCTATTTCCTGTAACGGGAGGAGCCCATTCAGCAGACAGTAGATATCAGCTGGAAGATTAATAGGAGGAGCAGGACTGACTTCATTACGTGCACTGTGATTGGAAGATCCAGTTGAGTAGGATGGGAGTTCCAGTGTAGCCTCTGATTTTATCCGAGCTCATAAAATAGTTTCTCTCACTACTCAAAGTGCTGTTAAAGCAGGTGACGCTCTTATATCAACCACCTTGTTGCTCACCTGAGTCTCGGGTTGCAGCATGCAGCAGTTGGGCCGACAGAGGCTGAGGCCGTGGCTGGAAGAGCAGATTGAGTCTGGGAAGTATCCAGGTGTCAGCTGGCTGGACCAGGTGAGACCCCAAATCTCCTTTCAACTTGCTCTCACCCTTCCTTCACACTTGCATGTACCTGCACAGCTGAGCTCAGGCTGTTTCTTATGAATCGTGATAAATGTTACTTTCTCACCCTGCAGTCGGCACGCATCTTCCAAATCCCATGGAAACATGCTGCTCGTCATGGCTGGAGCATCGACCGGGATGCGACACTCTTCAGGAGCTGGGCCATGCACACCGGTAAGAATCCCAAATGGAGACAGTTTTATCTCATCAGGTGAGGCCTCATCAATTAGACCAATTACATTCACATCATCGATCCAATATTGGGTTAAAGAGACATTAGGATTTATTGCTTTACATGGAAGTCAATTCAAGGTTCTTTATTGTCATTCTCACCACATGTGGTACATGTGATGGAATAAAATTGTGTATACAAGGACCCAGTTACATCCAACAAAAGTATACATTGTAAAAGAAAAACAGTAACAAGATCTAAGATATGAACTAAGAAATGCACTAAACTAAGAATACACAAAGCATTAATAGTACAAAAACAATATGCTGAACATCAGCAGCATGAACATGTAGAAATGCTAAACGGTGTGTAGAAGAGTAATGCCTTTTAAGAAGAGCTTTAAATCACACACCCCACACACACACATACATATAGTATATATATATATATATATATATATATATATATATAT